TGAAGGCCAGTTACGTCCCAGGAAACTCATAGTTCTTCAAACAGGGAAATTTTGGCTGGTGAATCAAGTCATCACTTCAAACAAAGTAAAGGGCTTTCTTAAACACTGCCAGGGAAGTTCACAGCCATCCAGGAAGAGAACTTTAGCTTCAGCAAAATTAGACTCTGTCATTAATATTTTAACTAGAATTGTATTGATTTTAGTTTTGTTTGTACTTAATCTGTCTTATTTTGGTTTCACTGTCCATTTGTGGCATAAGCAAGAGGAATTTACACTAGTTTTGTGTTTGTATGTAAGGAATATGAAAAGGTAAAAAATACTGTTGGAATATCTTTTGCCTTGAAGAAGAATGTGTACGTTGTTCAAGTTTGAGAAACATTGGACTAGAGGATTTCCCAATGTCCCTTCAAGATCCAACACGCACTTTAAAGCTCTGGTTTAAACATTTAGGTCACATTCCAAAATCTCATCAGTCCTCGCCTTCGTGCCCCATGGCACTTAGGACAAAATCCCAGATCTTTGACACGCCCTTCAAGATCTGTCCTGGACTCCCTCATTCCTCATCCAGCCCATTGCTGGGTTGCTGCAAAATCACTTCGCCAGACATTCCTCCCAGACAAGAGCAGGCCTTGTAATAACGGCTCATCACATCCTGTCCTGTTCTGTACAGGTCTGTCACAGTCTGAAATCATGCAATTGTTACCGTGATTATTATTCAGTCATACCTATCAGACTCCAAGAAGGCAGGGGCTAGGACTGGCCTGTCCTCTAGTGGACATATCATGCCTGGCATACAGTAGGCCCTGTCACCCCACTGAAAGTGGTCTGTATCCACTCAAGCCTCTAAGTACCCAAACACACGGTCAACTGCCCTCACAGCTCCTGGAACATAGGACTGGTGGGGAAAGTTTTACCCTAGAGCCAAAGAAACTTCTCTCAAAGTCCATGACCAAGGTAGGGGCTGAACAAAGCCCCAGGTAAACACTATAGTACCTGCTCTGTGACTTAACCTCTCTTGAGACTCAGTGTAGCTGTCTATAAAGTGAGAATACCCGCCTGCAAGCTGAAGAATGGGCCCCCAAAGATGCCTATTTCCTAATCCCTGAACCTGTGAGTATATTACCTTACATGGCAAAAAGGACTTTGTGGGTGTGATTAAATTACAGATTTTAAGATGGGGTGATTATCTTGGGTTGTCTGGGTGGGCCCCATGTAATCACAAGGGTCCTTAGAAGAAGGAGGTAGTAGAATTCATCAGAGAAGGCAGTGGGACAACAGAATTAGAAGTTAGAATGGTGTGCTTTAAAGATGGAGGAAGGGGCCTTTAAAAGCTGGACAAGGCAAGGAAATAAATTGTCTCCTAGACTCCCAAAGGCATGTAGCCCTGCCGCTGCCTTGATTTTAGGACTTCTGACTTTCAGGCTTGTAAGATAATAAATCTGGGCTGTGTTAAACACAAAGTTTGTGGTAACTTATTACAACAATAATAGGAAACTAATACATAACCTCATAGGGTTTTTGTGAGTTAAATTTGTTGACATGTAAACACTTAAGAGCCCCTGGCACATATTAAGTGCTCAAAAAGTGTTGGCTGCTATGATTATTATTTTTGCTGAATTCTCCACATGGATGCCAGTGATCTTTCTAAAGCATACATAGCATCACAAAATCTGTTTAAAAACTTTCAGGGCTCCCCATATTACACAATGGAAACCCAATCAGTGCCTTCTCACCTCTCCAGCTTTGCCCATACTGCTCCCCTACAACCATCACCAACTTCAATCATCTAGAACTACAACTTCTATCCACTGACTGTCTGACTTCCCCCACTGCAATGTGATTCCATTGGGCAAGGGCTCTGTCTCACTCACCTCTGCAACCTCAGTACTCAGAAGAGGCAGGCCCTGGAACACAACGGGCCCTCGGTAAATAGTTGTCCAACACACTAATGAACTCCATCCTACATCAGTCTGAGCACTCTCGGCTTGGATTCTCCTCAGATCATTCAGGACTAGACTTCCTACCCCATTAGACATTAGACACTGCCTTAAGTGCCCATTGATTAAACAGCATCATTCTTCTGCTTAAAACCCTCCAATTGCTCACTGTAGTCTTTAGGATAAGGACATGCCTCAAGGCCTCCTGGCTCCTTCTGTATGGCCATCCTCATTCTAACTACTCTGAAATCCTCTTGGTGCCTAGAAGTCCAAGCCTCCCTGCTTCTGGACCCTTACGCATGCTGCTGCCCCTGCCTAAAATATCTCCTTCACTCCCTTCGCTTGGCTAAAACTGCCTCATCCCTCCGGTTTCTGTTTGAAGCTCACTGAAGATGTAAATTGTTGTTTATCTCATGCCCTGCAGTTTTCTCAAGGCCTAGAAGTATAAGATAGCGGCTAAATCAACAGAAAGTTGTCACATGCATTTCCTGGCATCTGGCTCACTATCTTGAACCCTGGCTTAGCCCAGACCTGGGGGTTCTGCCTTAGTGCTCTTGGGCCTTGATCTGACCTTTTTCCTGATTTGTACCTCTGCCAGTCCCACAGTGATTAGTCATGACTTGATCTATGGAGCAA